AATAGGAAATTTTCTCACTGGTCTAGTCTTTTGTATGAACACCTTTCTTAGAGGTTTTGATTAAGTAAAGTGAGGTGCATTATACATTTGCAAACAGAATTAGATTCTAATAACTGGTCAGGTAAAACACGATTTGTGGACCACTGCGAACTTGTCACACTTATTCCCTTAGAAGGTAGGTATTGACAAGCGCCAGTAACTCAGTAATAAATACGCAATTCTGGGGTGTGCGATAGACTTACCTCCACGTGGAGCACCCTGGGCAACGTATACTCATACGGCAAAAAAGTCTATTAACCGACAGTTGACTTCTGACTTCAAAATACCATGGCCCGACTGCTTGTCATATTCGACCCCTACCACAATACTCATCTTACCTTTTTCCCTACCTTCGTGTCTGTCTGCCTCTTTTACATCTGTGAATCGCTCTTCTGTTCCCCACCCCTCGACTTTCTGCTACTTTGATGAACCTTCCCTCTGTGAAGCCCGAAGTCAGCTAAATGGCTAATGATATCTATCAAAACGCCTGCCATTTGAAATAAATAAATAAATATTGCAAACATCTTACTCTGGTTCAGATTGACACGATTATCCACTGGTCACATTGCTTAAGTAATATGACAGATTAAAGAAGACACAAAACACCACAAAATTGGCAAAACGTGATACTTTTAAACCTACTTGCTTTTGAAGAGTACCAATTCCCACAAAAAACATTCTTATGATGATGTTACCATTACTCTCAAATCAAAACACAATCATTACTACACTTACATGCAACATCAGTAGCAACCAGAATGGGGGCCTCGTTGTGCTTGAACTTGGAGATCACCGAATTGCGATCCGATTGATGCATATCACCATGTAGAAGCAGGACTTTCAAATCACGAGCTCTCAGCTTATCTGCTACTTCAACACAGTGCACTTTGCGGGTTACAAAGATCAAGACGCTACCCTCTAGAATATATATTAAAAAAGATTTATAAATAAAAAGGAAGGGCATCATTTGGCAATATCATAAGAGAGACATAAGTATGAGACACACGCATACCAGAGGTAAATCTAACCACGTGCCTCGTCAGCCAATCCCATTTTTCCTCAGGTTTGTTGAAAATTTCAACAATTTGAGTGATATCCTCATTAGCCTATAGATATATTTAAAGGTGGAGACAATAAATAGTCAATCAATATTATGGCGGACATAAAGGAGAAAATTCTTGAAAAACAAATCTTACTTCTCCAACTTCACCTTGAACAATACGAACAGGATCGGTGAGAATATCTCGAGCTAAGCGCTCTATTCTACTCTTGAATGTTGCGCTGAAAAGTAGGGCTAGAATCGAAACAAAAGCGTCATGTTTAAAGGTCACTAGAATAAAATTAAAAAAAACTTTCAAAAAGAGACACAACTCACCTTGCCTATCCGGGCGGACATGATTGGCGATTGAACGAACTTGGGGTTCTGTGAATTGAGACAAAAAAGGCATGCAAAGAAGAAGAAAGCCAGAGGCAAGAACGAGGTGTAGGGGAAGGAGACCTTACCAAAGCCGAGGTTAAACATTTTGTCGGCTTCATCAAAAACTAGGAATGTCACGCGTCGTAGATTTGTGGCCTTCTTCTTAACCAAATCGATTAAACGACCCTTAGAAGAAAAGAAGGCCTCAGAGCTTAGAAGTAACATAAATTACTGCCAATTTGAAGTATTCTAGTTAAATGAAATTTTACTTACATTGGCGCAGTCAAACTTACATTCCACTTATATGCACATTATGGTAGAAGCCAATACTGCAGTATTTATATAAATATCTAAAGTCTCACCGAATAGGATTCGTTTCTGAAGTAAACACTTTTGGATCGCTTTCGTGCAATCGGCAAACTATCAGAGTTATAAACCACCGTTGAGCCCATAATCCAATTTATGTTTAAATATGCGTACCTTCTAAACAAAGGCAATTATTCGAAGCTACTATTTTATTTTCAGTAGCAACAGGATATTTTTCGGATATGGATGCAACAAATACACTTCTAGAGGTGGCGAAAGCTTTAGAAAAATACCTTCTTCGTTAAAATTGCAATTGCCAAGTTAGAAAAAATAAGACAATGTACCAAAATCTAACCCAATCTCCACATAAGTAAAAAGGTAAACACCAAAAATGTGATAAGATAAAGGGAAAGCTGAAAAAAAAATTATAAGTTAGAAAAACAGAGGAAGTGGCAGAATATTTATTTGAGAACGAGAGGGAGAGTAAATGGGCGAGAATATAACCGCCAGATTCATTCAAAGCTTCAATCAGCCTAAAATTCAGACTGTAGTACTGAATTTTCTGGCTGCACAACAAGACCAATTTATCACAGCAGTTATGAATTTTTAAAAAAATCGAACACAAAATATACATACGAGAGTGACTTACAGGGGTACATATGAGTATTTCACAGCCAGCTTCACAGGCTTTCTGTTGTTCCCACATAGATCCTCCACCGTAGGCACACACCACACTCAGATTGTAGAATTTGGCCAACTTCTTCGCCTCCGTGTAGATCTGCAGCGCCAACTCACGCGTCGGCACACAAACGACACCAATAGGCCCATCGCCGATTTTTAACTCAGGCTGAAAAGATACAAAAAAGGATAAGGAATAGATCCAGCCAAATAAGAAACGTTAACTTCAAAGATTCGAACGTACTTGAGCCATAATATGAGTGATCATCGGCCACAAGAAGGCAACAGTCTTACCACTACCCGTTTTTGCGATGCCAACAATGTCTCGTCCGGATAAAGCAGCAGGTACTGAGGCTGCTTGAATGGGCATGGGCAGGGTGTAACCCGCTTGTCTAATTGATTCCATTAAAGGAGAATCAAGGTTAAGGTGGGCAAAAGAGCACACAGGCCTAGGTGGTGAGATGCCACTCAATCTGATATTCAGCTTTTTCAACAAATCCAGTACGCCTGATCCACTCAATCCCGAAATATCTGGATGTTCGACATAGAAGTTCTTGGTGAATGGCGCATAGTTAATAAGTGAGTGGTCAATTGGAGGCAAGGGATCGATAGGCTGTAATTGAAGTAGAAATCATTACTACTGAAAGTAAATAATTAGTAAGTTGTACGCGATTTAAAAATTATATAAAATGAGTACCAAACTTAATTCATAAGCATACCTTCTTTTCAATAGAAACAATGTTTCCTTCAGCATCGTATTCGTAAATTTCTTCTTCATCTCCGACTACACCTACATTTGGATTCTCTTCCATGAAACGTAGATATGATTCTATGGTGTCCTCCTGCTCAATATCGTCACGAACATTCCTATATTAGAGTGATTACGCAAAGTAAAGACATGTTTACTTTTTAAATTTGCTTTTCTGTTGCTCCTGTTTGTCCTTTGCGCCGGAATTCAACTGAACGACCTCTTTCTAAATTAGAAACAAAGACAATTTAAGCCAGAGGTGCGAAAGAAGCTTTGTGATGGAGAAAAACAGATATAAGTTCAAGATCCCCCTAAACAGCATAGTAAATGTTTGGCAAAAGAATTGGTCGGGCTTTCAACGTACTTCTTTGCATCTACTGACTGACTGAATACTCCAAAATGTTAACAACAACATAGCAAACTTGCGAACGTAAAATACAAAGCTTGGGTGTTTGATTGAGAGGTGCTTAGCGTAAGAATCATCTACTTATTTCAAGTAACATGAATTTAAAAGGGATCATACTGATGCAATGTTGGCAAAAATTATAAAAAAGCGAGCAAGTTTGTTGGTGATCCTGAAAAAGTCTAATCAAAACGGAATTTCCAAGGGAACAGACGAAAGCATTAATTATAAAAATTTTGAATATTATTATTAATAAAAAAGAAAATAATCGTACCCCATGAGTAAAACACTTAAATTAGGACATAATTGATTCCAATTTTAATAATAATAATAAACAATGGAGATATTAAAGCGATTGCAGAAAATAATTCCCAACTCGTGTTAAGGTTAGAGGACAGATAGGTGAAGAACGACTATTATGTAGAGCCTTATGTCCTAGTCTTTAACGAAACTTCCACTAATGAAAACGATGTACTGACCACACACTACGTACGATGTTAACAAAAACAGAAGAAAAGCATGATAAACAAGATTAGAATTCTCCCAACTCTTGATTGGTGTTAATATAGTGTAGTGTTGCACTCCACCGCAACAAATATCCATCTATGAGCATTAAATTTATGACCCTTAGAGTGGAAGACGCGCACATTAACACGAAGAAATCGACGACACACTACCAGAACACAAACTAGTTATTAAACAACGTTTACCTCGATATTCTGCATGTAGGCATCCAACGGATCATCGGAGTCATCAGATTCAGCACCCTTATTATCGGAGCAGGTTTTGCCTTCAGCAGCAGGACTACCCGGAGCTGGCTGATATTCCAATTCATCTTCCGGCTCTTCCTCATCATTAAAATAGCTGAAAAAGTCAATAGGCACCACTCAGACAGAACCACAGATTGAAGTCTGTAGTAAGAAATCCGCATTACTACATATAAAATTTGATCCAATTCACTGGATGTTAGCGAATAATAATCGAACAGATAGATTCAGTAATACGTTATCTCAGTAATGATATTCATTAACACAAGTTACTAAATTGAAGTTATCAGAAATTAGGAAACATGAAATGTTAACCATGACGCCACTATATTATCGAACGGCTAATGTAAGCAAATGGAGGGATAGCCAATAAGAACAGTATTCGACGAGAATGAAAAAAAACAACAAATAATAAGCAGGAACAATTTTCACTTCTTTTATATATTTCCTGAATAAATGAGAAGAATAGAATTTAGTTTAGACAATTAAAAGACGAATTCAATTGACTGTCGCCTGCTGCTAAAGGATTTCATCAAAGGCATGAATGTGTTTGAAAGCCTATCTTTGGATGTAAGTGATGGGGCAGCATTGTCCACATGCATAACCAAATCCTTCACTAAGTTGTCGATCTTCCAGTAGATCTGCATGAAAATATTATCAGATATTTACCTTTGATTAATGAAGAAAAGAGGAAGACTGGAAGAATAGATATGGAAGTTACCATAATACATAAAGACATATCAAACTAGTGGTGAGGTTAGTAGATGAACGATATAAATGCCCAAATTAAAAGACAAGGTGCAGGTCAATGAAAATGAAAATATTATCAAATGTTATTTAGGTAAATATCTTTAATAAAGCTAAGTAAATTGTTATAACGGTAGTAAAGAAAAATGGAAAATAAATGAAGCAGGAAAAAAAGATGACATTAAAATTCAGTAAGAAATTAAACTGTGCTCACAAGTGATAGAAAGTAATACGGATTAAGGCTCTCAAACTTACTAATCTTCATCATGTATTCTTTTTTTACCCAAATGAGTGAAGGCTCTGGAAGTTCCACTGGGTCCGCCACCACCTCTATGCGTATTATAAGCTGGAGCAAATGAGGTTTGGCCAACCGGTGGAACGCCTGCAAAAGAAGGCGGAGGGGCGTAGGCAGAGGACCGTGGTCCAGAAGAGCTATCTGATCGCTCCTGCAGTTCTTTAGCTGTTGCCTCAGCTGCTTGTAAACTATTTAACGACAAATGGGAATCTGACCCACTGGCAGATATAAAATTCATTCCCCACCGCCCACCACGACGAGACATTTTGATACTAAAAGAGGAGTGCAATCGATTAAATAAAGATAGGTATTATATTATGAGTTGATCAAAATTGGTATGAATGAAAGATGCATAACTACTCGAAATATTAACAGGTAGGTTAAGAGCACATGTAGTTACTTTGTGATTAACCCAAAAGAGAAAAAATGAAAATAAATAACCAAGTTTTAATTTTATCTTTAAATCATTGGCTTTTTTGACTTTTAGAAAATCGATTTTTAAATTTAATATTCAAATTTTATTTTTGACGCTACTTCTTGCAGCATAACTTCATGAAAGAAATTACATATTTTTCTGCCATGGATGACTTTAATTTCAAGCATTCAGGCATATTTTCCAATTGTCTTATAGTGTATTAAATTATTCGTCCCTTGGTCACTTAACCTGTATGCTCATTCGATTCTGCTTGCTCGTGTCTAGTAAATTACCGAAATTAGGTCATCATTCGCGCTTTACTGTTTTTAATAATAGCCGTATTTTTCACCACTGGTGCAGTTCCGTTTATATAAATTTCTTGAATAACTGTAAAACTTATCGAATAATGACTGATGTTGAAAGCATTTTATCTCCATTGCGAGCTGAGGTCAAGGCTCAGGTTGGCAATCGTAGTTCTTACTCTTTTGTTATTCAATTAGGGTGATATTGTAAGACGCCTTAAAGCAGAGAAGGCTAGTGATTTAGATATCAAACGTGCCGTTACCGAGCTGAAAGCGCTAAAGAAGATCCTTGAGGAGAAGGAGTTAGAGCTGACGAGTCAAGATCATAAAATTGACCGTTCAAAGTTGGAAGATCTGCTTAAACAAAAGTTCATATATGATCAATCCTTCTCAATTTACGGGGGTATCCAGGGTCTCTACGACTACGGGCCAATTGGCTGCGCTATTAAAGCTAATCTTATCTCTGCTTGGCGTCAATTCTTTGTACTTGAAGAACAGCTCCTTGAAGTGGATTGTTCTATGCTCACTCCTGAATCCGTTTTGAAGGCTTCCGGACATGTGGAACGTTTCACTGACTATATGGTTCGTGATGCGGAAACTGGTGAATGTTTCCGTGCCGACCACTTGATTGAAGCTGCTCTGGAGACGAAACGAGCTTCGAAGAAAACTAGTGAAGCTGAAAAGAAAGAAATCGATAAATACCTTGCTCAGGTTAGTTATCCGTTGATTGATGGAACTCTCGTCCAGACTGTTTAATCCCTTTTCCTTCTCCTAGATGGACAACTATGGTCCGGAGGAGTTAGATGAATTGATTAAAAAGTACGACGTGAAATCGCCCACTACGAAAAATGATGTGACTGGCGCTCAAAAGTTTAATCTTATGTTTTCAACGCCTATTGGCCCTACTGGACAAGTTAAGGGGTAAGCTTGTTTTATTCATTGTCTTAAATGCCTTACATATATTTGTATCAGATATTGGTAACGATAAAATTTTGTCAACCTATACTTAAAAGTAAACATCTTTATTCAATTCTTATTCTCAAAGCTAGTTTTTCCCAAATTATTTCTCATCCTTATTATTTTTTTTATTCGTGGTACCCTTTATTCATTTTTGCCCATTTAATTCATCCAATTAGTATAATGGACGATTATAAGTTGTCGATATTGCAGTTATAGAAAAATGCCTACGTTGCCGATTTTATCGTTTTAAATTGTGCTGCTAATTTTTTGTTGCTAATTGGCGATTAGAATCGTTACTTGGACTCGATTCCTTTTCATCAACTATAATCTTCAACTCGTTTTCAAAATTTTGCCAGTCAGTTTTAATCCGTTTTTTCGACAAAACATATTTCTAAGAAGAAATCACTGTAATAATCAACTGCGCATGTTTAGCCTTTTCATCTTCGTAGTTTCAAAGCAGATTTAGCAGGCATCTTTGTGCTTTGCCTACACTGAATTAGCTTGCAATTTAATCGTTTTGTTTCCTGAACTTCTGCCTTTCGAAGTCCTTTTTTGTTAGTTCGATGATTTATCCAAGAAGTTATCTCTTAACCTTGCATATCTTTAGAATGCCACTTTTCAACCTGTTCGAACGTTTAACCCCAAACTTCCATGTCGTTGTTGCTTACTATTGTCGTTTCATACAACCAACTTGATTATTCATAGTAGTTTAATGTTTAACTTCAAACTACGAATGCTTGGACGCCAAAAATCTTATCGCTTAATATAGAAAGAACAATGTCTCAGTACTTTTTGGCAGATAGCTCATTAATAAAGAAGGCTTCATGGCCATACTCTGTTTTCTAAATCAAAATGTGGTGACTAATACTATATCCTTATTTGCTCATCATACCAGGTTCCTAAGACCTGAAACAGCCCAAGGAATTTTTGTGAATTTTCAACGTCTCCTCCAGTTTAACCAGGGCCGTCTGCCATTCGGTGCCGCTCAAATCGGTTCTGCCTTTAGAAATGAGATAAGTCCACGCTCGGGCATCATTCGAGTTCGTGAATTCACCATGGCTGAGATTGAGTTCTTTGTTGACCCCAAGGAAAAATCTCATCCGAAATTCGCCCAATACGCTGACCTCAAGTTGCCCCTATTTTCAGCCACCGATCAAATGGATGGGAAGTCGGCTCGCGAAGTCGCGCTTAAAGATGCTGTTGCTCAGGTTTGTACCCCCTTTTACCCCATTTTTTGTCTAAACCAATTTTGCGATTAGTTACTAGTGGATTTCATCCAAATACTATATTCCCTTATATATTAATTTCCTTTATTTATGTAAAGATCTGTTTCAATGCGATTTCACGTTAATTATATTTTATTCAAGAATCTAGCATTGTTGGAATTTCATTTACTCACGCTTTTTTCGATTATAGCATATTTTGAATAATTTTACAAAATAATAATAGAGGGGTGTCTTTTATCGGATGGGTTAAAGGTATTCACCCACGCTACTCTTCTTCATTCATCTACTCGATGACAACTTGAATGGAAGTTGACTAGAACCCACTGGAATCGTGGAAGAGATTCACACTGGCCATAAAAATAAGGAGATTATGGGTGGTGCTACTCTTTACTCTCCCAGCACTGTGAAGGAATCTGCCGTGAAATGGTGAATTGGAAATGGGAATTTTGATTTTGATTTGCACAGATATATTATTACAAAAGAACTCAACCTTCCTTTTTTACCATACCTTGCAACAATTATCGTCGAAATCATTTACTTAAATTTGCAGCAATTTTTTGAAGTGTTAAAGCTATTTGACAGATTGAATAACTTGTTGTTCATTTGTCTTTAGTTCTATTGCAGTGTATTTTCATATTCTCGAATTTCTGGAATCTGTTTACAATACTTTGTTTTGATATCATTGTCGATGTTGATTAATCATGTCGTTTTCAGCACGCAATAAAACTTTTAAATCCTCCAAGAGTTGGCCCTGAACTTTAACAACTCTTAAAAAATTTATAAAATTTGATTTACGGACAACAATAAATTGTTAGTCTATTTTGTATTCACTAAATGAATGATTTCATCCAACATCTCCAAACGAAATTTTCTTTCCATACATTTGAACTTGGCATCCATAATGAATCATACCGTTTAGTGCTGTCCCACAGCTCACTCGAATTATTCTAGATCTTATACTCACAGGGTTTTTTCTGAAAATTGATAAAGCATTTCGGAAATTCGCTTATGTCATGGTAACTCACTCAACTGCACAGTACAAACACCCAACGAGCATTCGCAGTGCTAGACGATTCCTCTTTATGTTTTATCTTCCAGCTCTCTTCCTGTTATAACATTTTGTCAAACGCTCGCCGACCCAAACTAATGAACATATTTGGTTAGAAGGATTTTTACCCCTCTCATAAGTACTGAAACACCTTACGAAGATAGGCAATACAGTCCAACCTGATTAAATGACTTCCATATATTACGCCTTATTTCTGTGTGCAAATTCAGACTTGGTTAGTTATTTCTTTGAAGGTAAGATCTACCAGTTTCCATAATGGGGACAGATCCCAGAACTCAGTAAACCAAGTAGGTTTATTATAGAACTATGCAAGGCAACAGAAACAGTTTAATAAACGTGCGAATT